GCCCAAGAAGAACGGAACATCGAGACTCTGCGTCGATTATCGGCGCTTGAACGCGGTGACCGTAAAAGATGCGTATCCATTTCCGAGCATCGAAGAAATCATCTCGAATCTGGGGAAGGCGAAGTATTTCACTACCCTCGACGCAAGCAAAGGCTACCTCCAAGTGGAGATGAGCCCGGGCGACGAAAGCAAAACTGCATTCGTGTGTCACCGAGGCTTGTTCGAGTTCACTCGGATGCCGTTCGGATTAACAGGTGCACCGATGACATTTCAGCGGTTGATCGACGGGGTGCTCGGAGATGCCAAGTGGCAGCACGCGCTCGCGTACCTGGACGACATCATTGTGTACTCGGAAACTTTCGAGGACCACCTTCGTCACCTCGAGGACGTGTTGCGCAAACTGCGGATCGCCGGCCTCACACTTAACCCGACTAAAGCCCAAATTGGAGCTTCTGAGATCAGCTTGTTGGGATTCCGGATCGAGAGAGGAAAAGTTTCCCCCGACGCGGACAAGTTGCGGGCGATCTTGGAGTTCCCAGTCCCTACCGATGTCGGGGGAGTGCGCCGTTTTCTCGGCATGATAGGATACTACCGAGCCTACATCCCGAACTGCGCAGCCATGCAGGCACCCCTCACGCAATTGCTGAGGAAAGCGGCTCCCTGGAGCTGGGAGGCGCCGCAGGAGGAGGCATTCCTCCAGCTGACCGAGGCCTTGGCGCGTACAGCATCCCTCAAACTGCCAGACCTGAATAGGCCCTTCACGATCCAGACGGACGCCAGCTACCAGGGACTCGGCGCGGTGCTCTTGCAGGAGACCGAGGGAGAGATCCGCCCGGTGGCATTTGCCAGCCGGGCGCTGAACCCGGCAGACAAGAACTACACGGTGAGTGAGCGCGAATGCCTCGCCATCATTTTTGCCCTTAAGAAGTTCGATCATTATGTCGAGGGGACGGAATTCACGATCGAGACGGACCATATGGCCCTCGCGTGGCTCTCCCGAATCAAGGAACCCGCCGGAAGACTGGCGCGCTGGGCCTTGACACTGCAGAAGTACGAGTACCGAATTCGGTACCGGAAGGGCACGACAAATGTGGTGGCCGACGCGCTCTCCCGCGCACCCGTGGATCCCCCACCGCGCGAGACAGCAGACTGCGGAGGCGGGGCACTCCCCCGGGAGACGGGAAATCCCGCCTCGAGCTCCGCTCGCCGCTGTGGCGGCGTCGCGCAGCTGGCTGAGGCGATTACCTCACTGGGACCGGCGTTCAACCGAACGGAACTGTTCGAAGCGCAGCAGCGCGATTCTTTTTGTCGCGCTATCTTCGACCGGCTCAGGCAAGAGATGGATCCTGACCAGACAGGCGGAAAGACGCTGCGGCACTCCGGAACACCGAGAGGGCCAAGTGCCACCGCCCAGGAGTCAGACATTGAAGCAGGTGAGCTGGAGCATTACCTCATCGATGGGGACGGCGTCCTGCTGCGCTACTTCCCGGAAGAGAGCGATTCAAGTGAGTCGTTCAAGACCGTGATTCCCCGCGATCTCAGAGTAGCAGCGCTGCGTCACTACCACGATGCGGACGGTCACGGCAGTGCACCGAAGTCGTGGCATAAGCTGCGCCGTTTCGCTACCTGGCCGGGTATGAAGGGGCAGCTGTGCCGGTATGTCCGGAGCTGCGCAGTGTGCCAAGAGCGCAAGCCCAGGGGGGGCAGACCACCCGGCCTGCTCGAGCCCATCGTGAGTACGCGGCCATGGGAGATCGCGGCCTGCGACTTGATGGGGCCCCTGCCGCGGTCCAGCGGAGGCTATCAACATGTGTTGGTAGTGACCTGCCACTTCACCGGATTCGTCGAGATGTTTCCAATGCGGAAGGTGACAGCCAAGGGAGTCCTGAGCAGGCTGTCCGAGGTCTGGTGTCGCTACGGGTTCCCCGAGAGACTGGTGAGTGACAACGCCTCGATATTTTGCTCGAAAGTCTTCGCGGCAACCTGCCAGGCCCTCGGGATTAAGCATTGTAAGACTTCGTGTTACCATCCCCAAGCAAATGTGACCGAGCGGCGGAACCGCGACATCAAGCCGCTGCTCGGGGCGTATGCTCGTAAGCAGCGGGACTGGGATCTGCACTTGGATTCGATTTCGTTTGCATTGCGGTCCAATCTCAACCGCAGCACTGGGTTCACGCCTGCGCTTTTGAACTTCGGCAGAGAACTCTCTACGCCGACCGACGCGGTTCTTCGCCCGCGACAGAGCGCGGCCAGAGCGGTGCCCTCGCACGAGGATTTCGCGACGCGCACAAGAGAGCGACTGTCGCGGGCGCTGGACGCCGCCCGCGGAAACAGGGCTCGCGCGCGGGCGGAGCAGAAGAACACCTATGACAAAGCGCACCGCGATGCGCAGTTCGAGGTGGGCGACACCGTTCTGCGGCGAAGTCACGTGCAGAGCGATGCGACTAAGTTCTTCTCGGCGGCGTTGGCCCCCAAGTGGGTTGGCCCCTTTGTCATCGATTCCAAGAAGTCTCGACTGACATACACGCTGAGGGACCAGAATTCTGATCTCGTCCGCGGGACAGTTCACATCGGCGAACTGAAACCCTTTTTCCCCAGAGAAGGGGATGAGCCGGTCAAGCGGCCGCAAAGGGGCATTCGCGGGCACCAACGATCTCAGGAGTTCCTGGGACCACCGCGGCACAGCTACAACACGCGTAGCCGGAGGCAACCCGATGGGATCGGAACCTCGTAGAGTGCGTGGCCCGGGAAAGGGAAGAAGAGGGGGGAACGATCCGAAATCGGCGTTCCCGGCATTGTGTTCTTGTTTTTCTTTGTGGGTGGGGGAGGGATGTCTCGGAACCCTCAGTGTTAGTTTTTGTTTCTTGTTTTTGCTGTGGAATGTTTTTCTTTTTTTTTTGTTTGTGCGGCGTTGCTGTTGGTGTTGGGGTACTGCTCCCTCGCTGGGCGCGCGCCTTGGACTTCTCCCAGCTTATGCGTCATCGGCCCTGCGGCTGCTGCCTCGAGACGCGGCTCGGTGTGATCCTCTCCTGGGAGACGATGAGAGGATGAGTCGCCGTTTGGACGCACACCAGCTTGGGCTGAACTCCTCGTCTTCTGGCAGTGTATTCCCCGGCAGGAACCACAGCTTGGGGAGCCTTGTGGGACGTCCGCGACGCCACGCAGGACGCCGGTGTGCAGTTCTCATTGACACTGGACTTCCAGCCCCGCATCGTTCCGGGAGGGCGGTCGCAGCTGGGTCGCAACCACAGTCCCTCTCCAGTGCACCACTCCATGGGGGGGCCAGTCTCATGGTGGCCAGGCACACTGCTCAAGGACCCAGTTGCCCCGGAGGTTGCCGCCAAGCCGAAGTCGACAAAGTCTACTGTGAGGTGTGCGGTGGCCGCGCACCCCAGGTCTCGGGCGAACTGATGGACCTCAGTGAGGACGACCCATGGGACCAGCGGTGTGTGTGTGCGTGTGGGGGGGTCTCCAGGCCAAACCAAGCGACGGTGTTCCCAGCAGCCTAGCCGTACGTCTGAATTCCGGCGTACTTCGATTTTTAGGAGAGGGGAGTATGGCGCACCGTGAATTCACGAGGGCGCCCATCAAACCATTCGGCCAATCTTGGCCGCGACACGATCACATGGTCGTGTTGCCGCGGGGTCGATCGGGATCTCGAATTCGGCTCCCGACGCGCCGCTTTCTCTCCTAGCCACTGGAGGGCGCTGCAGGCGCCCCCGTGGCAGGCGAGGAGAAACCTCCTCGCCCATCGAGATATATACTCGGTGGGGCAGGGGGCGAGAGGCCTCTAAGAACTCCGGACGAGACCGAGACGCAGGCAGGCAAGTGGGTGGCGACCGGATCTAGAATATCGCGGGACGCGAGGCCTAAGGCCTACTTTGTGTTTAGCGTTGGGCTTAACGTGCGGTTGTAAATATTGGTGTAATGTAACTTGTATTTGTATTTTAGATTGAGTGTTTTGTAGCGTTGGGTGTTTTTGTACCAATAAACTGGGAGCGGAATCCCGCTCCCGTGAAAGAACCAGGCTGGACTCGGGTTGTTGACGGACCACGTGGGAAACGGCGAATCGGCGGCGGTACGCGAATTCCTACAGGGCAAAGCTCTGGTGGGGCTTGTTGCGTAGACGCTGAGCTGCAGCATGCCGAGCCTTTCGTTCGTTTTCATAGATGTTGCGCTGCGGTCAAATGCTCAAATGAATATATAACCACGTTCCATACCACACATTCTTTTACTGACATGGATGAAAACGAAAGAAGGGCTCGGCATGCTGCGGCTCACCGTCTGCGCAGACAAGCACCACCAGAGCTTCGCCCCAATCAACATCATTCACCATGTGGAGATGCGGTTGTTCTTTTTTTTTTTTGTGCCCTACACGAGCACGGGAGCACGTGCTCACATGCTTGTGAGCGCGTGAGCTCACAAGCAGGACCACGAGCCCCCGACGCCTGACATCAAACGGACATGGCTAGCCCCTAAGGAGCTTCGCCCCTAAAAGGAAACTCTGAAGTACTTTTCTTCCTGCCTGGTGATGATTCTTAGGTCGGGCTTTAAGCTAGAATGAATTATCTGTAACTAACCCGCTGTATGTCTTCTTATAACTTTTTGCTTGAACTTGGTTTGTTTGCAGTTTGGTACGAAAGTTGTGTTGACAAGTGCACATAATGGTTATGATTGGATCTCGTCATCGGTGCTACTCGTTTTCGGCGCTTCGAGTGCCGAATCGAGACGCAACTGTGCCAGTGTCTTTTTTCATTTGGAACCGAGTCGGTAATACATTTTAAGATTGATTAGAATGTAGCTTAGTCAGGTTCAGCTGTATTTCAGCATCAGTTGATGTAACCCAGCCTCCTCCTTGGAAGTAATCGTCGTGGCTCCAACCTGCGCCGTCGAAACGGGTGCCCGCCCACGGGTCGATCTCCGTCGTATTTGACGTATTGAGGGACGTCTGGGGCAGGGTGCACGTGCTGCTTCTAGCCATCTGGTTTTGGACGACGCAGGTTTGCAGTGGGCCTGGTGGTGCCCCCAGACGTAGGTGGCGGTGCGCCAGGTTTGGCGGAGTCCTTGGGGCCGACACCCCCCTCTTCGCCTACTCCCAGCCAGCGCAGCCACCACCGGCGCAACGTTAGCGACACCTCCGCCTTTGTCAAGTAAGTGGCTCCCGTTCCTCTTTTTGTGCACCCACGAGCAGGCTAGTTGAATAGGTAGTCCCAAAGATGCGCCCATGACACCTTCGGCAGATTTCTAATGTCTTCAAGGAACAAGTTCGGTCTTTCTTTTAACTGAGGTATCGGGAAGGCATGCCGATTCCGTAGAAGTAAATTTCGTGAAGTACTGCAGTTAGTCCTCGGCAGTGAAACTTTTAAAGTATGCGCTACTCACTGAGGGTCCTCAAAAACAAGCAAAAACAATAGCCAACTGGAAGTAACATACTTCTCCCCCCGGAAGTTTGGCCATTTTTTGTTTGCCTCCTCTGTATACAGTAGCTGCACGTGTTCCACGCATGGAGGTAGGAAGCTTTTGGAGACGACATGACGCTGTGGAGGGGCATGTCCTCAACGATGGCCAAAACCAAGAGACGCCATTCGACGAATCGAGAGTCAACATGGTGCCAACAGCTGCTTTGGTCAATCTTGGGAGAATGACCAAAGCAGCTGTTAGCATCAAGTCGGCCCTTTTTTTCGTTCAATGGCGTCTCGGTTTTGGTCATCGTTTGGTCTCCAGAAGCTTCCTAGCTTTATGGTTCCACGGCTACCCAACGAATGGTGCCAGGGTGTTCTCTCGTCCTAATTAAGAGGTTTTAAAGACATTTGGTCATATGCAGATGCAAGTGTGCTATCCAGCCTTTAGATCAACTGCTTGTACGCTGCACACCGCCACTTGCCCCTTCCAAGGGGACGACCGTCCAAGTGGGGCGACTCTGTGCAACCTCCGGGCTTGTCGGGCCAGGCCCTTTGTGCAGGAGACGTCTCAGTTCCTGGCCCCCTTCGAGGTGTCCCAGGGCCGGGTCCCATCCCCAGCCTCCGCGGACAACCCCTCGCAGCATTGGAACCCATTTGCGGACGACCGGATGGTGGAGGACCACCTGTTTGGACAGGAGTTTGACAAGATACGCCGGGGCTCCCAGAGCAGTGAGTGGCCACATTCCTCCCTGCCGAGAATTTCCTGTCGACCAAAGCCGGTGTGGCACCGTATTGCGTCGCCTGGAAAACTAAAAACCTCCGAGATATGTGTGCCGTTGATTTGGGCTTTATCCTTCCTGAGGCCACCGTAACGCTGATGGAATTGACAGCGTGTCACACACCGAGGCACTCGTGCCCGTAGATGGCTGCACCCGTTGTGACGTGCTCTCATTGGCGTGCTCTCATTCACGTACTCGGCGCATTCTTCGGGAGTGTGGCGGCTGTCATGTAAGCCGCCTTTATGCGTGCTCTCTCCTGCCAGGCATCTCCAATGTGAAGAGTCGCGAGAGTCTAGTCATGAGCAGCGGAGACCTGGTGGACCCCTTTGGCGCAGCGCCCTTCAGCCGATCCGGTGAGGTGCCCCTCCCTCACGCTATGTTATGCCAGCTCTCATGTCTGAGCGTGCGTGCGTGCCGGCGACCGTCCCAATGTGCACGCTAAATGTGGCGTCACACGAGCGTTTCAGCCGCCATAGAATATACCAAAGGAATCAGAGTCTGTACCTATACTCCGTTTCAAACATAGCGTGCAACGCTGGGAAAGGTACTGAAGTAGTGCGCATGAAAAAACACAAAAAAATGTGTTACTCTGCGCGTTTCGTGGACGAGCGGTACAAGGCACTGCTCTGGCGCAGCGCCTCGCTGTCTGGCGATACCGACGTCTCGGTGGCGGTGGTTCAAATCCACTTCGGGTGCAAAGGTTTTTTTTGTTGTTTTTTTTCTCGACATATTTTTGTGCAAAATTGTGCGCATTGCGGAAGTGTATATTTCAATTCCTATTTTCTTGTTGCTTTTTATTTATAAGGGGGTAGACTAGGGGCTGGTGTCCCGTTTGAACCCCGTGCCGGCCTCGTCAAAACGGAAGAACGGTCGAGATCCAGGGCGTCTTTATTTAAAGCCGTTTATTTACATGGCAGCGTGAAAATCGGAGAGTACCTTGAGAGTGCGGTGGACGGTCCTTTGTACAACGAATACTGGGATTACGGGACCGCACTGCCATTGGTCAGACGGCTTGGCATTCCCTCGCGTGATGGGACTTCATGGAAGTTTCCTTCAGAGTCCAAATACTCGCCGGTGTATGGAAGTCATCCAGACGGCAGTATCTCGTTGCGCTGCTGCGGCGTTCCCATGAACCGGGAGTAATTCACAATAGACGCGTACACAACACACGGCACTCGAGATCAGGATCAAGTGTTGCTTCCTTTTCCGAGGAAAGCAGAGGCCTCGGAATACAGGCACAGGCATGTGCGTCGTCCACTTAGCCGACCAAGGTTAAGGTGCCTCAGGCAGACGGAGCCGACCGAGGTTAAGGTCCCGCAGGCAAATGAACCTAGACGCTTCGGAATGCAACCACGGGCATCGTCCGCTTAGCCGATCAAGACGAAGCCGTAGGCACGATTCATCACCGACACGGTTCCTTCTTGAGGCTTGTTTCACTTTGAAGCCACAAGGCCGATTTTAACACCGAAAATAACAAGGGGAAGTTTACATCACGGTTCGCATGCTCAAAACTTTCACGTTGCGAGGTCCTCGCTTCGGGGACGCCACCTTGCCAGACACTCCGGGGTCATTACTGACCGTCTCCAGGACTTCACGGACCGACGTCTCCGGGAAACGCGTTCTTGCACTCGCGTACACATTGGGGATCACCTGCTTGCATTTTTTCGAGATCTTCACACAACGAATCTCCGAAAATATCTGAACAGGAGAGGAAAGCTTCCTGCGTAAGACGCCATCTTCTCAAAACCGGCGAGGCAGGGCGCAGGGGAAGCCGCACAACCCGAAAACCCGAAGCGACTGCGGCACGGACGAAAACGGAAAACAATTTGGACTTCAGAGTAGTTTACATTATCTTTTCCTTTTTATTGAAAAAAAAAAAAAAAAAAAAAATCGGTGTTTTGTCGAAATCATAACGCCACTATCAGTTACTAGCTCCAAAAATGCACATTTTACGACTTTTTTTTTTTTTTGCTGGGGCAGCACTATTTTATGGGGCGAACGTAGGCAGTCGGCAGTGCAAACCGGTGCGCTAGCCTTGACTGCATTGTATGTAACGCTATGTATGAAACGGAGTATAGGAAGCTATAAATTGTGTCAAAGGCATTCTTGGGTACTTGGCCTTATATCGCAAAGTTCAAGAATACTGTTCATATAAACAAAAAAAGATTAATGTGAAACTAGCATGTGATCGAACCTCGTTGATGCATTTGCAGTCTTTTCATTGTTTTTTTTTTCAGCTGTTACGTTTACAAATGCTGGTTCCTTTTGAGCTCCTGTAGAGATATTTATACTACTTTTCTATTCATTGTTATTGCCATCCCGGGATTTTCACTAAAATGCTGCCACTTGATGCGGCCAACATGAAGCGTTGGGCTGCCCTGTCGTTGGCATTGCAGCTGCCTTCTTCCCTTTGCTCCACCTCACTCTCTTTAGCCCCTTTGCCTTTTGGCACTGCGCTTTTCGCCCAGTTTAGCATGGCCTTGGACTAGTAGGTTCGCAATGCATGCCCATCAGCATCACAGACAAAGAAGGCTGGCTTTTAAGGAAAATTTCATTTGAACATTTATTTCACAACATTCCTAATCACTTCAGCTACAGCTCACTTGTTGACCGTGCTGGCCATACCATTGTTTGGACTTCCAGACAATGACACTGCCATCACCGTGACATATCACGAGCTGCGAGTGGAAGATTTCGAGGAGACACTCGTTGAAATGGCTGTATGTCAGCTTCTGTGATAAGACTGAGCCAGAGCGACCTATTCCCAATAAGATCAGACGTTTACCATTGTCGATCCTGCGCTGGCACGAGGTGGTGGCACTTAGCGTCGGCACACCTGCAATATTGAAAAAATCGCTTGCCGTCACGGTGTTTTCAGGATTCTATATCCTGGGTTTGTTACTTGTGAAGTAGGCGCGTTACCAGACAGCTACGGTGCAGCCTTGAGAATCTGCTTTATCGGAGTTTGATAAGCACGGTGTGTAGGAGTCTCACGTAGCACCCGCTAGATGGCCATAGTTGCTGCGACGTAGTGATAGCGCAGCGTGCCCACTTCACGAAAGCGTGCACTCGGCCATCTGCCAGCGAAACGTGGCCACCCACGCTACTACGCCACAGATGAACTAAGGGAGCGGAACAGCAACATTTCGCATTCACAACTCGTAAGAAGTGCTTAGGTGTCCTCAGACTTTTTTTTTATTTTTTATGTTAAATAAGTTTTTTGCAGACATTACAACTTGAGTTTTGTTTGCTATCCTTGCGTGTTACTTTTTTCCTTTCACTACATCGTCTGACTAGCGCCTGGTGCCTGGCGTCTGCCTTATAGGGGGCTGAGCCCCCCCTCCCCCCGGTTCCGGCATCTCTGCCCACAGAGGCCAATCATTAGCACATGGGGAAGGAGCCCAATACACAACGAGGCAGAGACAATGTTAAAAAAAGAGTGATTCAGCACTGGTATGCTAAGCACGACGTTTTCATACTCGGAATTTGTGCGGACCCGATTTTTGAGTTACAACGTCCTTTATTAGTCAACTTCACATAAATTCAATTTCCTTGAGCATTGCAGGAAAGTGTATATGCAAGCTTTGCTCACAAAGGGCTCCCGTAAGTCCAGTGTACTCGAGCGTAGGTGAATCCGTCGGGTTTTGCCGGTGTTTGCCGACTGTTTGCTCGTCGCCGCTACAGTACCTGGAACGCATCTCGGACTGGTTAGTTTAGCGTCCTATTCCAGCCACGCATCGAAAGCGTTCCCAAAGTGGCAACAAAAACCAGTGTGACGCTATTGGATGTCGCGATCCTGACGGTGGGACGTAGAAGTTCTGGCAAAAAGTAGTGAATGCAAGTGTCGCCGTCGTTACGGCTCCCCAACTCCCGGCTGCCAAAGCTTCCGTGGACTGGCGAGCTGGAAAGCAACCTGCAGCAGAACAGGCACCTGCCACATCCACCACCACCGCTGCGACACCGGCAGGGTCGCGGCCGGCGACAGCGTGACGCATCTGCGACGACGTCTGGCGGAAATCGAGAAAACGCGTTTTTAGGACATTGTAGACAGACCGGTGGGAGAGGCGTTCCAGGCACGGTGGCGCCGCTTAGAGCCACTAAATGAGCTGCGCTTAGAGTATCGGCACTCCGTTCCCCGACATTGTTGTGGGCGCCGCCATTTTGGCTCGTATGCAGAGCAGACGCAACTGCCGACCGTCATGATTCAAAATCGCAACTTCCTCAGCATTAGATTCGGTGTTAGGAAGCTTGCGTAATATTGCTTTGCTCTGTCGCGAACTGCTTAAACATTTGTGGAGGACAGAAAAACATTTCCTGTGATCTCAGATAAAGCTTCAGATAACTGGCGACCATGATCTTAAGACACAATATGGCCAAGTGTCTGAAGCGTAGCTTATTTAGTGGCACTAGCGCCGCTGACCGCTCGTCCAGAGAAGTGACCCGTGGCGTGCTTGCGCCAACTCGCAGGCAAGTCGGGCCGGGCCAGGAGTTCGTCTGCCAGGGGCGCCGTCCACGCGCCGCACGGGTTGGCCCTGCCGCATTCTGGAGGTAATCGCCTGTGGCTGGGTCGCCTCTAGCTGCCGCACGGCGTCACCGTCCCGTCGTGCAGCCGAGGCGGTGGCAGAGCGCGGGGTTCTTGCGGCGCTTCGCCACTTCGCCCATCGGCTGAAGACCCGTGGCTCGGGATCATGCTTTCTAATCACTCGACACCAAAAAGAACTGTCGGCCATATTTTTTATTTTTATTCCCACAGTTGTTTTGTTTGATCTACAGTCGGATATGGCTACTCTACCGGACAAGGCAGCCTCGCTACATCGAGCATTGCACAAAAAAGTTGTCCTGTTCTTTGGGACTCCGGATGAATCCGACGTTACTGGCTCGAAATCAAATTTTGTTTTGTTCTTTGTTTTTCTTGTTTTTTTCTTTTCACAAAATTATTTTAGTACCTTAGGTTCAGGTGCCCGAAATGGTCCTCTTAAATTGCGGTATAATCTAGTGTCCCAAAGGAGCGCAGAGATTCAGGCCCTGCCGTGTTCAAGCTAGTATAGTGGTGCCGAAGTTGCTTCTCCAGAACCAATTGTTGGGCTTTTCCTGGAGAGCCACCCGACCTGTAACCGCGTCTCTCTGTAGACGCGGCAGTTTGTGCAGTTAAGTTCTGAGCCTTTTGTTGCGAGTGTTGCAAGCCCTTTTGTTTCCTTTGGCTCTGGAATGTCTGTGTGGACCATAGCAGAGACAGTTTGCCTCGTTGCTTTATTTTTATTTTTCATTGCGAGAGAGTTGGCCTTGTTATGTGTTGCTAGTGCCTTGTCCGCTTTTTATTGATGCAAGTTTGTTTTTAAAGCCTTGACATTTTTGAAGTTGCTCAAGCTCTAGTCAATCAGCAGAAGGCCTTTTAGGCATTCGTTAAAAAGCATGCACTGAGAAGGGTTCGAGGGGGGAAATCTTCCACTCGCAGCTGCAAGAAGCACTTTCAGGCTTTTGCTATTGTTGATGTCATCCCCTGTGCTCTGCCAATGTACAACTTGTTTGGGCTGCACGGGCCTTTCAAAGGGACAATGAAGGCCAGCTAAAGCTTTTTTGTCTAATGAAAGTGTTCTGCAGTTGCTAGCAGATTCAGAAAGCTAGGGTGTTTTCAAAAATATTTATATGCCACACGTCTTTTTTTGTAAGAAGTGCATTCAGGGACCCATGTAGCATTTGGAAGATGTGCCCGAGCTTCTTTTTTTATCAGTCTTCCCTTTCAACTGTCATCACCTACTTTATATTTCCATTGTTGGAGGTGGGGGGTCAGCGGTCAGCAGTCTTGCTTTTTTTCCTCCACTAAGAACGATAAGCAAGGTGCAAGTAGAAGCTGCTCCCTCCATTTTCTCTGGTAGATTAGGCCGTACAATATGGGTGTGCAGCTTTTGGTTATTGTTGAAACAGGTTACACAGGTGCATGCTAATTGCATGCATTTGCCCTTTCCTTCCCAAAACCGTGGATATGTTGGTACAGCTGTAAATCCAGTAAACTCCCCGCACTTAATGCCCTCTTACTGTGAGATGCTGGTTTTCTCTGTATGAGGCATTTTGCCAGGAGGTAAGCTTGCTATTAGGTCAACAGAATGTGGCAGATCATGCCTCCGAACCGTTCTGGCAGCAAGCAGATTGTGCCATCTTAAGTTTTTGCGGAATTGGCAGGTTTCTCGCTTCTTGTTCCCACCCGCTCCGGAAGCGTTCCAGTCGGGAGAGCTGGAACGGTCGGTACTGCTTACGCCAGCATGTGATAACGTTGCCTCATGTTGCAGCCCTGGTACTGTAGTCACAGGAATGCTCTCAAAGGGGAAAGTAAGCCACATTTTATGCTGACAACTTTCTTTTGTACAAGATGCGCATGTGTTCGATATAACGGTGAATGATTGTGTTGGCATTTTGTTACGGCTTGTTCATTGTACCTTTTTTTTTTAATGTTGTTTAAACCTTGTAAAGTTTGCCTGTGCATGTCTTTGTGGGGTTGCATCGTGCCACTGCATTTGCTCGCAAATTGTGTTAAATGGACACTGCATGCGTAGAAAGCATTTTTGAAAATTGCTTGGGTGGGCCACATTTGTCACAGAATGCCCGCTCCCTCAAAATTGATTTATTCAGCATTTATGCTGCAATTTGAGTTTGAAGCGATTTCATGTGCTCGCACAAGCTGGTTCAAAAGTGACTTTTATGTCAAAGTGAATGTCACACTGACGTCAGAACAGGAGCCACTCTGTCAGCCTCCCATTGGCTGGGAGGGGCGCAGAGGAGGTGTGCCTAAAAGAGACGAGAATGAAAAGCATAGAGGAGATCGGCCTCTACGCTTCATTCACGATTTCATTTTATTTGCCTTTCGCGGCTTAAGTACAGTTGAATATTTCATATTTTCGTGGAAAATGCATGGTGGGACATGCATGAACCTATCCAAATAGTAATTGAAGTCGTATGCTTTCCCAGACGGCATGTGGAGGGCAAACAGTCAGTTCATGAGACACTGAGCAGTGGACAGGGCATGCTGAGGGCCTCAATAGGCCTGGGATGCATTGTCCGGCTCCGGGCGTGGATTTGTCGCATTTGCTCTGTGCCCACTGTAAAAGGAAACCCATTCGCGAGCTTTTTGAAGGGGTACTAAAAGAGGCTTGTTAGCTTGTCTTCTTATGGCAATAACTTCATCGAAGCATCTTAAGAAAACCCAGTTATTCTTTTTTTTATGGCAGTAACTTGATCTGAGCATCCTAAAGAGCCCAGAATTACTCTCATGTGCAGCCTATTCCTCTATTAAAAGGGATTAAACATCTGTGCATTATTATAGCTTGGGGGAAGAACATTCCAGATGTCGGATGACAAAGAATGCCCGTAAGCCGATGACCTCCTGCACTACGGACAAGCAGGGCGATTTTCATTTGTGTTGGAAGCCATGGCTCGCAATTGGCCGACGGGCGCCCTTTGTCATCTAGCCTCTGGAAGATGCTCCTCTCCCAAACAGCAACACGTGGACGTTTGATAATATTCCAAGGGAATAGGTTGCACACCACAGTAATTTTGTGATTTTAGGATGCTTTCGGCATCCCTTAATTATGACCATTAAAACAGAGTCAAGAACCGATTGTCCTAAGCCCTAAGGACCTGTTGTAGGATGGGCACGTCAACCAGTAAACTGGTAAACATTGGTGCATGGCTCTTGTGGTCTCCCCAGCATGTTGTTATGCATGCGGTGTGTGTTCTGTTTTGCTGCTTGCTGCATACTAACCAGGTGGCTGAGCTGAATTGGAAGTGAAAATGGGCAATAAAAGAGTCTGAGATTGCTATCGCATAACTCGCTTTATTCCGGAACGGAGCTTGGGACGTTGGACGGGAGTGGGGACAGAGGAACGGAGACGGGAAGAAAAGCAGGCATGCTGGACATCCGTCTCAATCGTCTGCACCTGGCCTCATATCGTAGCCCTCCATGTGCCTCGCTCTGTTAAATACCGAGGCTGACACGCTTTGTTACGTCGTCGTCTGGCTGCACTGGCCCGTAAACTGGGCTACAAGACTCAAATAGACCACTCGCAAAACTCCCGATGAATTATGGAAACGTCCTGTATTCCTCGCACCCGTAGCATCTCCCACGTGACTGAAGAGAGAGGAAAAGGGTAGCATAGTTGCATTCCCTCCGTCGTCTGCTACGGCCGGTTTTACCTGGCTGGTTCCCAGAATTCCTTATGGAGCTGCAAGGGGCACTGCACGTCTTTCTGCAGGGTTATTGACGGACTGAGCCGTAATGGCATTCTACAGTTGCGTGATCTGTCTGATGCACTCTTTTTTTTTTTTTCTTCTGCAAAAGATAGTAAGTAAACAATTTCTGATTGCCATTAGTGTTGCATGGATCATCTGCTCTGTGCAAGCAGTTAAGTTCAATAATACTTTTGTTAACTAAAATAGACAGGCAAGAGAGACTTGACGTGACAGCAGCAAAGGCAATGAGAACGCTGAAGGAAACAGGTTTTATTTTGCCACTCTTGATTGGCGGGAACTAAAATCCAAGTCGGATAACTGTAAGGGGTACTCGCGCAAATTCTAGCGACGCTTACTTTTTCTATTGATTTCTCTGAAGAGTTTCAAGACCGGGAATTTGAATGAGGAAGAGCGACGAGGCAAACTTTTAAAACGTTGTGCGAGAGGGAGGAAAAGACAGCACCACATCACCGTCTCTCCAAACACCGCAGGTACGGCGGCGCTCGAAGAAGACCACGGCGACCTGCTGGCGCCCAGGGCACGCCACTGCAGCGAGCACTCGAGCACCTCCCAGGAGAGCCGGGAGGCCGCGGTGCCCCCCACGATCTTTGGAACGTCCCCATTTGCGAGAGCGCCCCCCGAAGACCGCTCCAAGTACGAGAAGCTCCTGGACGACGTGGAGGAGGACGCAACGGCGAGGGCGACTGGCCACAAGCAGACGCGGCTGCTCTCGGCCGAGGAGGACAAGGACTCCATCGGCTCTGCCAGCGACCTCCAGGCCAGGGTGGAGCTGAGCGAGGAGGAGGAGGTGGACCTCGCCGGGAGGCCCGAGAGGCCCGAGGCCAAGGAGCGTCCCCGCAGGGCACCGTGCGAGGGCGCACCCCACGAGGCGGCCAGAGGGTTCCCGGACGCGTTCGTGGGGCACGCCGAAGGAGAGCGGCCCCTGCTGGAAGACGACCAGCTGTCGGACGCGGAACCCAAGCCGGCGGCGGACGACCTCGCAGTCCTCGTTGCCAAGACCCTGCCGCCCCCGCCCAAGCGGGAGCCTGCCACGGAGGGCCCGGCGCCCGTGGACATCTTCACCGAGGCCCCGTTCCGCAAGCCCCGGCCGGGCAGGAGGTCGTCGGATAGCAACAGGCCGACGGCGGCCGCGTTGCTCGCGGAGATCAGGCAGGGGCGGGCACCACCCCACGACTTCCCCGCGGACTACCGGAGGCTCGCGACGCACGCCAACTCGGAGGGCGAGCTTTCGAGGGGGCTGCCTTCCGCCGCCGCCGACCTCTTCGGCGCGGCGCCCTTCGCGCAGCCGCCCGGCGCCGTCGACAACGGCGCGACGGCGGAGCTTGGAGCGGCGCTCCGTCACAACTCGGTCGGGGTGGTCCTTCCGCCGCCCCAGCCGGAAGTGCCGACGCGCGCCCTCAGCCACCAGGACCTGTTCGGGGCGGTGCCGTTTGCGCTGGACAACGGGAGCGTCCTTGGGGAGGCGGACGGGTCCCCGGACAGCCCCGCCGGCTCTGAGGAGGGAGAGGAGGGTGCCCTGCACAGGTTCCGCAAGGAGCGCAACCGGCGCTACCAGCAGCTGCGGACGGAGGAGGACGTGGCCATGACGGAGGACCTGGTGGAGGCCCGGGGCAGGGTCGCGGCCGGCCGGCGCAGGAAGAACGCCGACAAGGCCACCAACGCCTTCTCCAACCTGAGCTTCGAGGACATCGGCAGCGAGGAGGACGCGGGTCCGGCCTTCCTGCCCGACTTCCGGGCCTCGGCCGTGGGCAAGTGAGGCTCCCCCCCCCCGGCCCTCTACGAGAAGCGAGATGTGATAGTACATATTGTACATTTGCGATTATTATTACTCTTATTATTATTATTATCGCCGAAATGGGGCATCTATATAAATATATATATATATATATATATGATATAAGCGCGATTTTGTTATTAGCCGACATCTTCCATTGTCTGATTTTGAGGCCCGCAAGGAGAGATGCGCGAGGCGGCGTCTCCGGGTCGGTTCATCCTGAGTGTAATAAAGTTTACATGGTGGCTCAAGTAATGAGGGGGGGGCAAAAGGTTATTCTGGGAGCTCCTGTGGTGCTTTCGCTGTGACTAGAAGAGCTGGTGCTACGGCAAGTCCGGGTCGGTCGAGAGAGAAGCTTCTAGACCCCCTCGGACGACGAGTGCCGTGGGTGTCGCTGCCAAACGGTACCGGCTCGCTGCGTCTAAATAAGATGCCAGGGACTGCCTCGAGAGCGCGTGCTTTTCGGTATGCCACCGATCGTATTTATGAATCGTTTCGAATGAGGAATGTGAAAGTTGTTGAAAAAGCAGTTTTTGTTAAATGTTTCCAAGTTTTTTATATTTATTTATGTGTCCGTTAAGAATGTGTTGCAGGTTCGGAGTACTACATTGCAGTTTTCCTCGTTCGAAGGCAAAGGACAACTCGTAAATGCAGTCACGGCACGTCGCGTGTCTTATTTTGTGTGGAAGATTTCTCTGTAGAGAAAAGAGGATGACTAATATCTAAATGAAGAATTATGGGTCTACAAACCTTGTCTATATCGTATAGGAACACATTTGCTATATGTTTTATAGATTAGTTGTAGGTATTTAATAATAAAAGGAATGCAGTAACCACCTTGTCTACTTTTACTGCTTGCCGTCGACAGCAGTGGCATGCACCACCAAGCTTTCGACGAAAACCTCGGTGAGTACATTTTTCGCACACCGACTTGAGTCGTGCAGTCTTTGCAGATTGATGCAGCAAGCCACTGAAGGCTCATTGGTAGAAGCCAGGCTGCGGATCCAGAACAGAAAATGCAGTCTCGTCCTTAAAAGTGCCATATAAAAGGTCGGTGTTTGATGCGCACGACTGGAAAAGTTGAGCTACAGTAGACTCCTTAATTCAAACTCCAGGAAGCCACAAATATTGTTTGAATTGTTGGAAGTTTGAGTTACCAAATTTATTTAAATACGATGCAAGATGCAATGATTTGCCATATGAATGGCTACGGAGACAAAGCGGATATTTGATGATTTCCTCTACATAGGCCTGATCATAAGCAGGTATGCCGCACATGAAACATATGTATGACATAAGTTCATTCCCTCAAAAATGTTTATTGTGGACTGTTCAGACAGCACTTGACAACTCGAAACGAACCTTGTTTATCAGCCGGAGAAGTCTAATGGAACTATTAAACGGGACACACGAGCGATGAAAACGGGCAGCTCGCGGCAGTTTTTATAGCAAGTTGTGCAAACTCTGTGACATGGACCTATGCCATGCCGCCAGGTCACAGCGTCCGCGCAAGCTGCTATGAAAATTTCTGCGCGGTGCCCGTTTTTATAGCTCGTAGTGCCTTGCTCGAGCCCCGTTGAGTGCGCTTCCCACCAAGCACCGGTGCACTGCAGAGAAGTAACCCGCGGAAGCAAGCTCCGCGGGTGTTGCCTCTCTGCAGTGCAGCGGTGCTCGGAAAGGAGCGCACTCAACGGGGCCACAAGAACAAAAAGTATAAATTGCAGGAACACGCCGTTCAAATTGTATGACTTATGGATACATTAAAAACAGTGGGACAACCATACTTTTGAAATTTGTTTGAATTAACCAAAAGTATGAAATATCAGAGTTTGAATTACGCAAGACTACTGTACTATTACGACTTTTTGTCCCTGCACAACCTCAGTTGCCAGGTGCTATCAATGGGAGTACACACTGCAAGCTTAGGTTGCCTTCGATTCTTTGTAGAAGCGGGGCTCTGACACTACGATCGGTGACGGGGTGAGTCTTTCAAACGCCTCCAGCACGCGCTCCTTGCCTTCTGCCGTGCGTTGGCTGTGCGTGCACATTCCAGGTGTACGAGGTGCGTCACCGAAGGTAGGAAGCTCGTTCCGGAGGTAGGGCTAGTGAAGCTACTCCCTGCCGTCCTCACCTTGTCGGGGACTATAAACAACTGAGGTACAGGTTGCAATGTAGACACTCTGTGCAAAGCAAGCTCTCGAGGCTTGCACCAACAATCGAAGCCGTTTATTGGTACTCTGTCCCACCGCCATGGGGGCACCCATTCACAGTTCAGACTTCAGTGGGTTTTTGTGCATTTGCAACGCCTTGACGGACACCATCTTCCCGGCGGAGGGCCCCGTGACGAAGACGCCGGTCAGGCTATTGCCGTACACGCAGCCCGTGTCGAGGCCCGTGCAGCGGGGCCACGTCTGCAGCATGCGCTTGGCATCGTGGCCAAAGTACACGTGGGCAGGGCCATTCCAGAGGCTGCCCCAGGGCACGGATCCCTCGCACTCGTTACTGACGCCGAGGATGCCCCCCTGCTCCCAGGGGTCGCGCACACGCAGGTTGCGCATGCTCACCATGTTCCGGGGGGAGGTGGCCAGTCCCTGTCCGGGCACGAGGCCAGCGTGCACCACCAGCGCATTGAGGCTGGGCAGGCTGAGCGTGTAGGGCAGCTCCTGGAGGAAGCGGGCTTGCTGGCCGCTCAAGCGCCCAATCCAGCTGTTCTCGGGGGACAGCTGGTAGTTCGGGTCACGGGACGCCAGGTACTCCCTCAGGACCGCCTGCGCAGGGGAGGTCGATATGTGGGAACACCCGAGAAACCTGGCCAAAGGAGCCTCAATCTCCCTTTGATATCCCATGATCATAAAGGCATCTTTAGCTAAGAGTACAGACTGATACGCCGGTTGCAAAGGGATCTATGATAAAGGTACCTTCCTGCTGGCCGCATGAGCGGGGTACTATAAGGATGCCTACTTTTGCAGAGTCTGGATCAATATGTTGCTCGACTCTCGACCTACTGGTGGTTCTTGCCAAGAAAAACGGTCTATGGTGTAAAACATGCTGCAGAAAGTAAGTGCTCAGCAGCACAGCCACCACAATGTCCACTTACGTCACGTCTGTGCAGTCTGTTGCAACAAGAGAGATGTAGAAGCGTGGCCTCCAGTGCCAGCTTTCCACCAGCAACGCTTCAGTATCTCGTGAGCACGCACACAGAGCCAGTGAGGAAGGCAACAAGTGTGTGCTGGAGGCGAAGCTTCTGCAGGGTTTGTGTCATAGCGAACTATAGATGGCCTGCTCTGATTTCGCATTGGCTCCCACTGTATTGACCTTGCTGCTAAGCACACACCTAGGGTCAGTGGCAGATTAAGGGGGGAAGGGGGCGGGTTCAAGATGGTCCCGACCACTCCTTTGAATTCCGCATGTGTAAAAATTTAGGGCGGGGGGCAGGGCAGGGCATGTTTTCTCATACATCTGATACATTGACTTCCATCTAGAAACACCTGCATCTGCCCCTGCCTATGGCAGCATACATTACATACCACCCAATGTTTTTCTTGGCAAGATGTAGGAATGACCACCAGCATGGCCCGAAGACATCCAGCGCAAGCCATGTATAGTTTTTTTTTTTTTTTTTTTTTTTTTTTTGTACAATACTTAGAGTAGCAAAATTTCGTCTAAAATTGCCACACCCAAAATAGTGCTCACCTAAAGCTGGGCTTACGAGTGGATATTTCTTGGCGACAGTTCACTGAATAGTGTCCATTACTCTGAAGCAGTGTGGTCAGTGGCGGATCCAGAGGGGGGTGCAAATGTCCTGACCATCCTCTTGAATTCTGCATGAGTAAAAATTTTTGGGGGGGGGGGGGGAGGAGGAGGAGGAGGAGGAGGAGGAGGAGGGAGGGGAGGGGGGGGGGGGTGAAGGGTGAACATAATATGCTGACCCCCCCTCTCGAAATACCTGCCTCCGTCCCTGAGTGTGGCACCACCTGTTCTCAAGTGCACTTGGAAGGTAGCTCAAAACACAGACAGGAGAAAAACGGAACATTGTAACCGATGGATGGTGGGGAAAGGACAAGAGGACTATACATGGCTTGCACCTGATGTCCTCGTGCCATGCTGGTGGTCATTCCTACTTGTTCCAGCACCCGTTTTCCGCCTACCGCATAATCCCGCCCATTGTGAAGAGAGATGGTGAAAAATATCGGGTGGGCGATCTTTGGCAATGAGACAGCCAAAGTTTATCAGAAATGGCTTATAAACGCCACACCCGCTATCGCCACATGGCGCGGGAACCGCGCAGATTGCGGACGCGGCAGATTCGCGTTCCACGGCGATAAACACAAGGGAACTCGCAACGAACTCGCAAGCCACAGGAACCGATGTTGCGCGCGCAGCCCGCGAACACAGCAAACTCCGGCTTCGATGGTGCAACTCGCCACACGTACCGATACCGCAAATCGCGCGGTTGAACCGCTGGGAATCTGGGGTGGGCAATGTTTCGGGATGTTCAAACAAGCCACACCCCCGCGCTGCGCTTACGCCGCTTCGCGGCGACAGACTAACTCACTTGGCCCACCCGTAAACGCCGCTTGGCGACGGCCGATTATTCGCTAAAGTGTCATTCGGTGAAATGTCGGCGTTCGCTAAAACATTACTCGATCAAGTGAGTGCCTCCCTGGGCGGGTAGTTGCGAAGCTCCCGTTCTATCAGCGGTCCGAAGCTGCCTTCGTAAACAGTGAAGGGGCCGACGTACTTCGTCGTGGTTGCCCCGCACACTCTGGCAGGTGATGTTGTTGCCCATGATGAAGTCGAGGACTTGCTCGCTCTTGGGCCCCTTGTTGACCAGATCGCCGACGAACAGCTTCAGCGTGTCCTTGTCATTAGCGCGCTGCGAGTGCAGCAGTTCCATGAGCTCGTCGTAGCAGCCGTGGACGTCGCCAATGATCAGCACCTGCTTGAAGGAGGCGACGAACTCTGCGCTTAGCGTTTTGTGCATCTGTGCCGGGAAGGGCAACCCAAAATGATGTACCGGGGCGGCATGGCTGAAGTAGGATCTGACGATGGAGACTAGAAGGGACGTCATTGCTCCCATGGCGACACGGCGGCACCTCCAAATATTCGCAAAACATCCGAGTGCGACTTGCCAGCCTTTAGCGCTCGCAAGTTCCAATTTCGTTTATCATTGTTGCTTTCCGTCTTTTTTATATCTGTCTGCTGCCGGAATCCAGAGGTCTCGCACGACTTTTGTCGTATCAAAAAATGTATTCTCATTTTATATAATTATAGCTACAGTAATTGTGTTATGTTTTATCTGTGGCTTAGCAAAATATAATGACAGTTCCTTTATTATTATTATTATTATCTCTGATAAGGCTTTGTTTCTACTCGCTTTCGTTGTGGAATGAATTGGGCAAGTTTGCACTCCAGTGAAAGCAAAAAACGTGCCCTCGCAGGCTCAACAGGCTCAACCCATTATAATAACTCTATGCTCCCAGACATGCTCCCAGAGCCATTTTTTCCGGCTCTTCGGTGGCGCCATCGTGAGCACGTGGCTTCATTGGCTTCATCCTCAGTTGTGCAAAAACCCGCGCAAATCAAACTCCGAATTACGACCAACGGTGATCAAAATCTCAGGCTCGCACTGCTCGCACCAGAGCAGCTTTAGCGATGCTAGCAATGCGATGCTAGCAATGCTGTATTTAAGTGGGAATGACCACCAGCATGGCACGAAGACATCAGGCGCCTCAGCGTACGGGTTTGTAACCTTTCTGCCAGTCGCGCACGCTTCCCGTGTTCTTCTATTTTGTGCAAATAAAGATTGATCATCAGGACGATCTGTGGGTAGAGCAAACTTATCGCTCCCCATGAACAACAGTTTTGAGCAACGTTACGTTTTGACGGTGCGAAAGGAGTATGGCGAACGCTCGCTGTCCGCACGCGTTTAACCGGAAAGCGCACAGCTATGGCCGATTGTTACAAGGTCTGACCCACTGCACAATGGCGAAAAAACCGACACCGCAAAACTTAACGCAAGGACGCAGGCGAACTGGTAGTACGTTTCCATACAAGCGCGAGCTCCAGGCTTTTAGCGTCCCTGCCAAGCACGCGCGCTCGTGCAGTCCAAGCGCTGTTCTTGGCCACATGCTCGCGCTTGTAGCATCGGCGGCGTCTAGACCACGGTGGAAGAAACATGTTCTTCCACCGTGGTCTAGACTTCAGCTGAAACGAAGTGTAGTGTTCCGACCTTGGCGGTGTCTCTTGTATCCGCCACTGTGCAGGGATTCCACGGCTTCCAACAGAGGGGTTCAAGGTTTTGTCGTGGCCAAGGCAGAGAAAAAGTTCACACAAAACCACATCTCCTCCCATTCTGATAAACCCGAAAAGTAGCCACCGTGCCGGTTTATTCAAAATCGGGTTGGGGTAAGTTTTACCGCGCTGTAATACTGATTTCTCATTCCCCCTACCGTAAGCGCATGCATACATGGGGAAATTGCTTCCAAAAAAGTAATTTAATTACATTTACAATTACTTTGCTTCAAAAGTAGTTTAACTTCAATTACAATTACTTTGCTTCAAAAGTAGTTTAACTACAATTACGATTACTACTACGTGAAAAGTAATGAACTACAATTAGAAATTACTTTTAAAAAGTAATGCAATTATTTACAATGACTTATTTCTGAGAGCGACCCGACTTGGGCCATATAACTTTAAACGAGTTGTATACATATAATGCAATGTATTTGTTCATTCCTTGCCCCAATGTGAAGGAGGCTTATGCGTAAATGTCTCGTGTTATACATCCCTTTTATGAATTCCGTCAAATTCATAATAGAACTTGTCAGTTTGAGGCAATGAAGTACTACATTCTAATATTTTTGATAAATAATAATAAATTAGTTCATATGCTGAAAGACGCCAAATCGCTAAAGAAAAAATTGGGTTGAAAGGGTTTGTTAGCCAGGAAAATAAAAATGCGACAATTAGTCATATATGAATATTTTACAAGTGCACTCTAAGAAAAAAGATGGCCCCTTAAGACTAACGGCAGCATATGAACCCCTGAACTCGCATTTGCACCCCGAAGGGATCTTCTGGTCCGAGCTAGGTACCGTGTGCAAAACCCGCGGACTAACTGTGGTCGGTCGAGACTAACTGAGAGGTGATCGCGAGCAAAAGCAGCAATTAGTCTTCCTCGGACCGAGGAGCATCCGCATCCGAAGATCCTCAAGGCATATTGAGTGCTCGCACGGATCTGATCCCTCGAAGCGAGACGCTGAAATGCAACTGACGCGACAAATGTTTGTGCTCGAAGCTGTGAAGTGCGCGAACGGCCTTTGCGTAACCGCGCTCGGTGTCTTTTCTCCTTGCCATCGATACAGCTTGCACAACTGTGAGAACATTGATGACTCGAAGCTCACTAAGGAGATATATCGTGCACCTCGCATCAAACGTTGAACGCCGACATGTGTGCTTCTGTGCCATTTTGATGCAGACATTGCAACCGAGCTAACCGAAGTCAGCCGTTTGCCTTATCTCGAGTTTCACGCCTCTGCCGCTCCGCTTGTCGAGATGTCGACCATGACCGGCAATCTCGCACCAACCCGCACGGCGCCGATGCCGATCCCGCTTCAGCGGCCATCGTTTCTCTCCCTGGGCCTGCGGCCGCTGCGGCGAACCGCTGTGAAAGGCGCCGTCGGTAATGTGGCGCACCACGATGTAAGTTTATATTCTTTGCGTCTGTTGTTGGCCGCATGTCGCGGTTGTACCGGTGGTACACCATGCAGCACGTCAAAACCCATCCACCTGCGGCGGTGATGTTGCGCCGTCACGCCAGCGGCATCCATTACGGAATAAATATATACACTTGTTTCTTTACCTTGCAATTGTGCTTTTTGGGGGTCCTGCAAGACGTCGGGTATATATTTTCTTTTACTAGTCCATGTGTATGCTCGAGTTCGAGCTATTTGCATGTGAACTGTAGTCATGTAGATGCTGCGTCCTAGGTTTTCCGCTTTTATCTCAGTGAAGTGAGTTGGTGTATGCTTCTATCATTGCAAGGGAATGATGTGGCAAGATCTGTATTGTTGGTAATTTCATGTAGTAATCAGTGCTTCAGGCTGGGGGGTCAAGGGGTCTCGGGGGCCCCCACTGATTTTGACAAGAGTATATGCGAAACTCGTATAAAACAAATGCTTGCAACAAGTTTTCTAAGTGTCTAGAGTCGTCATTTGGACATCAGTTTGAATTGTCTTCACTACTTGTGGCCGCCCGATCGGTCTGTGCTTCGCTCGTCTCCCAGGAAGTGACACATACAACGAGAAGGCAGCGAACAGGTTTATTGTACATCCCAGTTGCCCGTCTTCGAGAGCCGGCAGTCCAGACCCGCCAACCCTAGTTGTTGCCCGTCGTTCAGGGCTCACAGTCAGAGCCCGTGTCCAGTCCTGAGAACCGTCCTTCCCACGCCAGTGTTGCGTAGGCTAGCTGTTCCAGGCTATCACAGTCAGAGTCTCGCTGCGAAACCACTCCGGGATCGTCATAGCCCAGGCCAACATGGCCAGGGCTCGCCGCTTCCGCCAGTCCTGATCCGGACTTGGCTGGCGGAATGCTCCCGGGAATAGCCATGGGCTGCACCAGCCAGAACGGCTCTATCGTTCCTGCCTGGCCCCAGCCTCGTGCAGCACGCTCTTCCTCTTTCCTCGCCGGCTGGCCCCACTCGCACCTCGCTCGGCCGTCCTCTCCTCCCGACGCCCACATACACTAGAATAAAATTTGGAAGTCTGCATGCTACATAACCGTATGCACATTGCAAAGCCTGGTGTAAAAAGGCGACAGGCAACAAAGTGTATTCGTGACTGCCTGGAGCTGAGCCGGTTGGTATGACATGATTCTGAAGGTTTCCAGCTGAACGTAGAAGTAAAAACCAGTTGCTTGCTTTTTACTTCTACGTACAGCTGGAAACCTTCAGAATCGGGAACAAAGTGTATGTGGAAGGATATTTACGCTTCGCACAAGCTTTTTCTAAACAAGAACATTACCAGCCTGCTTTCTGCACGCCGTTACACTTGTTACTAGACTCAGCATTAAATTTGGTTGCTGAAACAAGCAAAACTTTGTGCTACGAAAACCCGCTATTTGAAAACTCGCAGGTTTGGAAGGTTTTGGTTGCGACCACACATGCCGAACGGCATTAGGAGTGCCGGAATAGGTCGACGGGCCTTTCTCTTGAAGACCTCATTGCCCGATTTTCGACGTCACAGCGAAGCGACAATCGGCCCGATTGTTCCTATCGTATTTCCCTATGTGGCTGTCAAAGCGACTCATAATACAACTTGTATAAATATGTTATTTTGCCGAGTAGTCTGCAAAACGAGTTCATTGGACCACTTTCCGAGCCTGCACATATAATTTCATTCGCTTCCCCGCCAACAATATCTGTAAAATTCACTTACTTGATGTGGCGCACTGCAGTAATCCAGTTCTGTTGCTGTGTCGCTTCCCAAGATCTCAGAAAGAAGCCAGGGAAGCGGTGAAGTTTGACGCTTGAGTCACCTTCGCGACTGTGGCCATCTTTCACGCAGCAGTAGCAACGTTTATTTTTTGGAGGAACTCTAGGAGTAGGCGATATGTTACAGGAACTCGATGAGGTCGTAGAGACGTGAAGTTGGGACTTACATTTACGAAAAACGGTTCCAAAAAAAGCTCACGCCGATCCGAAATGCATCGTTCACACGTGGTTTCTGGATGCGCCCGCCCGCAGCCCCCGTGACCTGCACAGGCCTGGCCTACCCAGTTTCTTTATTTTGCAGCCACTAGTGGTGCAACGTGTAGCGCCAAACTGCATTGCAGGTTTCCTATAGTACACTAGAGAGACAAAGGGGGGTGCACCTCTCTGTTGAAACGCCCCTCAACTCTCACGGAAGACTTTAAGCACTCATAGTAGTGTGCGTAAGTGCCCATCGCTGTTCTCAACATGCCTTATCTCTGAAAGATAGAAATGAAGCTTGGTATTATAAGTTTATAATGCTTCTGTCCCTCCTCTGTGACGAACAGACAAAAGCATTACTCTGTCTGTTCATCACTTACTCTACCTCTGTGAACGACCAGCAGACTGGTCGTTCACAGAGGTAGAGTAAGCATTGTCTTCCTGCTGCTTATTTAGCAAGTGTTTCCCAAAGGTGCAAAAGAAGCAGGGGCCATCACAATATAATTCGAATGTTGGACATACATGAAAATATAATTAACTTATAAAAACAAGTAGACCATTTGTTTACCATAGCACACTTATGTAAATATACTGCTTGAGCCCATCCTCATAGTTCTCCATCCAAGGCAGCTACAAATATACTCTGACAAAGATACTAGAAATATTTTCGCTAAGCTATTACGTTGTAAAACTGACGGATACCTAGACAGTGACGTTAAAACAAGGGGGTTCCTGCCCCCCCCCCCCCCCCCCCCCCCC